TGTTGTCACGGATTTACAGTAGTCAGTACTGCAAAAGAAAATGACAGGTTTGCAAATGTTTGCAGATTCTTTCCTAATAATTCCTATTATTAGCTTTAGATATAGAAAATTAATTTCCTGAACTCAGTACACTTTTCATACAGTGGATTCTTAGGAAAAATACATATGTAAAGTGCAAATGTTAATATTATCTTAATATATTCAGTTGATCAAAACTGAGTAGAGACAAATTTTTTAAATCATTTGCGTCTGCACAGTTTTCTGAAATAACAAAAAAGTAAAAGAAAAACCAACAAGGTATTTTATAATGAATTTGTAGTTAACAGAACAAGATAATGTTAATGTATGAAAACCGCTAATACCGAATTCGTGCTTTATCACGAACCCAATCACTACCTCATTATGAAATTTGAAGTCAATCAATTCTTTTTTTCAATTTCGACTGATTTGTATCCGTGGTTGGAACTTGACACTCAACACCATTTTTCATTCGGTGGTTCTGCGCACAACCAACTTTCCCGGTTATTGGTTCCCAGTTATTTGTTGTTTTTCCACATCATTCACTTTTAGCTCTCATGTTTCAGTTGAAAAGTACAAGTAGTGCACATGGCTTTATTACAAACTCGATCTTTAATACATGTTTGAAAATCCTGTTGGTTTTAAATAGGTAGCGTATTAGATGAAAAGATCAGATGAATTGACACGACAGTAAGAAACAAATTATATTGAATAACGTGAAAGAACAATGAATACTATTTCTCCTCAAGATATCTTGTGTTTCATTGCATCATGGAGATATTAGTATAAAACACTGTTTTACTGCCAAAATACAACTGAAGACTTATTTCTTACCAACCTAACTGCAATAAAGATATAGTCAAGTGATTGATTAAACATAATAAAATATCCGATAAGAATATTTAGGTTTAGTCTGATTTAAATTTTGTTCAAATTTATGATTTTTCTTCAGTAGTCCATTACGTATTCATGGGGATAAAGTGAACTTCGAAGACATAGAAAAACCGTACGTACAAACTGCCTTACCTAGTTCTTCTGAAGTTTCTACTTCTGTTGGCCATTCTTTGCTGTGTAGTCCTATGACTCATTACCAACTTGTTGACCAGATTGCCAATTTGAATTGTACATTACAATCTGTACAAGAGTCGGTAGGTTAATAAAAAATCTGTTTACTGTATCATTTCGATTATTTTACATCGGCATGTTTGCCAGTCAAGTATCTAAAACACTTTCCTGTGTAAAAGTGGTTTTTGTCCCGTTTTAATGTTAGTGTAATGTAAATTATGCTTTTAGATACACGGTTATTCATGTTTATATCTCCGAAATGCTTGCTTGATTGTTCAAACTTTTGAGTAAATGATAACCCTATGTGACATTTATAAGTATTTGAATTATAGTATGAACTAGGAATCCCAGAAATAACGTAATCGGATCAAGAACTACTAGATAACCACAAACGAATGTACTGTATTTAGAATTCGAAATCAAGCATTCAACAAGTACAAAGTTATCATTAGTTCATTCAAACACCACACCCTAATCTAAAGAAAATCGATAGGGAACGTTTCGTGGAAATCAGTTTTCAAAAAGTTATTCAAGGTATTGATAGTCCCCAATAATACTGTGTTTTTACTAATTCTTTATTTTTTAAACAACACTATGTAAGGCCATCAAATAAGCTTATTTCAGACAGGGCCATAGATGTACAGAATAAATTTTTAACCTTCGATAGGCTTTTAGCTACAGGCAAACTACTTGGTGCATGATTATAAGATCTCTTGACTTTAAGCCAATATTGATTTTGGTGAGTCGTTTTATGGACTAGTTACGCTAATTGGCAGTTGTCAAAACTACTCGTTCTCACTATTTCTTTTAGTTTCGTCACAATTTTTCTGTAGATATCAACTCCCATCGAGAGACGTTCTCACTTATTTCTGATGGAGATATTTACAGTTAAGACGTGAGGATGTTTGGCATACGTTCTCTTTGAAAGCATCTCTTCAGGAGTGGTTCGCATCATTTTGTAGTCTATTTATAGGAAGTCAAATAGTTGTATGTTTTGCTAGATTAGGTAAAGAGGCATGTTTGGCTTCTGTCAACTGATATTTGCTACTTAAGATGTCCTCTTTATTAATTAGTGGGCAAGTGTATAGTGCTACATCAGTCTCTGTTATTTTGTGTCTATGAAACTTGGACTTTCATAGTTAGAAACTTGCATAGGTTTCTAGTGTTCGATCGTAGATTTTTTCGAAATATAGCTTGGATTTGCTAAAACAACAAAATTAGTTTTGTTGAAGATAGGCATAGGACATGAAAAAGGTCGCTTACAGTATCGCGGTAGTTGATATATATCTCTGGGAAATACAGTTCTGTATCTGATAAGTTTATTAAAACGTTTTCGAAATTCGAATTTTAGACTAAGAAGTCTGAAAAATTGAAAGTTGAAGTAAGTTGTGGCATTTAAACGCTCCTTGTTTTAACTTAACTCCCCTTTTAATGAAAAACCCAGAACTATTTGCACTATTACTTAGTTGTATTGTATGACTTATTGTAATGTATTTTCTCCATCATTTTACACGCCGGATTGTATTTTTGTGGCCATCATTGTTTGGCTAGTTTGTCACATTACTGACTGAATATATCTGAAATTTATCGTTTGCTTGTTTTTAACAGTATCTCAGTAGGAACGTGATTGTAATGAACCACTAAGGTTCAGTGCGTCACAATAATTTATTCAACATAAAGCGCCTACGCGCTGCAATTGAAGGTAATCTTAGAATATAACCTCATCCTACTAAATTTCGCTAGTGTATGCTGAATTTTTCACTATTAACCCAGCCCTTTCTAAATTTAGGAACTCAATCAAAAGGTCATCATATTGCAAGAAAAGTTACTAGCGCAAACTCGGTTACTTGATAATTTCAGACAGGTGAGTAATATTTACATAAGTATACTTGTTCGTTGTAATTTAATGCCTCGTTATAAATTCTCTTTTTTAGACAGTGTACGGAGTATCCTTAATGATGCTTATATAGTTTCAAGTGCATTTGCTTGGCACGGCGAGTGTCAGCTCTTACTCCCGAAATGCTCTCACATGACCACGCGTATACAGCCACCACCAGGAAAATTCTACTCATTGCCTTCTCGCGGCACTACTGTTGATCACGAAAAGCGAATGTCTTGCACTTTAACCGGGTTGGTGGGTATGGATGACCCACCTGTGGGGGTTTAAAACCCTGATTCTGTCCAAACCATATATATCTTGTAAATAGGCATCGTTCACCAAAGGAAATTATTAGGTAACTTCAACAAACGTACTGCTCTACTGCTAAAAAATCACAATATGTCAATGTACAGACTGACTAGTTTGTAGTCGGCATTCAAAATATTTAACGGGACAGATTTTCTCTCCATCGCAACCGATCGTTGCTCTCGTTATTGTAGATACTTTATAAACCTGATGGTTTTCATTGAACCCGGTCACTTTATCTCGTAATTCCCACAGGAGGAATAGAAACTACGGAAACACAATCAGGTTTAGCGAACGTTTTTGGTGACAAGCGTCACTACATAAAACCCGTTAGTCGTTTTAAATATTTTTGGGTAGAGATGTTTAGTCCGTGAACTTGTGTACGTTTTCCCCGTTGTATTAAACAACTAAGGCGCGCAAGACGTCCACCTGGTCGTCTATTGACGTTTTGTGTGCCCAAACACTATTAAAAGAAGCTACATATTTATGCGACACGAAATTGCAGCACTCTTCTCTTATAAATCAGGACATGTAGACTGTGATACACTTTTTTATTTTAGGCCTTTGACAAGTTGAACCGAGAATACCAAGCTATATTGCAATTGTTTCCTCATTTGTTGAAGAAAGTTGCACACATGACCTTACCCGACAGTGAACTCGACGATAAAACAAGCCACTTAGTAAGTTCGCATTGGAATTCTTTAGGTAGTTATTATCCTTGAGTTCTTATCGAGTTGTTTGTCAGTTCTATAAAATTTATGAGATAAGCTTTATCTAGTAACAGCTTCATATGATGTTCTTTAAGTTTTTTTTTCTCTTCAGAATACAGAGCTACGTTCGACCTTTCCCTTTACGGATACTTCAGCTAACCAACTAAGACATACCGTAAGTCATGCTTCCTTCATCCGCATTAAATTGATGTAGATCTAATCGTTTTCCATAACCTTAACATAGCTTAGAAACACAGTGACTGCAGACGTAACTCGGATAACGGATGTGATATAGACAATATACGGCATAGATGTTATGAATTAGATTAAAACTATCTGAGCTGTGTATCAGGTTGACCACTAATTAACATCTCAAAAACTCAAGTCAAGTTAGGGAAATCAAATAGGAGCATATTACAAACGCAGAGGAATTGAAAGACCCAAAAGCTTACAACTTATTATGTTTAAATAGGCATAATGATAACATTTTTTAATAGAAGCTATTCCCATAGACAAATTGCTTTGGCTGTAAAGGATCATCTGTTATCAGCTATTTCGTGTAGGCTTCCGAAATATCCCCATATTTCCTAACCATGTGGTTCTGTAGGTCTACCAATCAATATGCGACATAATCTAACATCCATTTTTATCATTTCAGGTTTCTACCTATGTACCAGGAAAACCCAGGTGTGACGCATCTCAACTTAGATGAAGCTACATGTCTGCAGATTGTCAAAGTTCATGTACATAAGATGTTTCTTGTAAATAAATTATCCTTGCATATTATTCTAAGTACTTCTTTATTCAGTAATTTTTAGAGCTCTTATCACGTTTGCTTATAGTATATATCCTTTACTACCATGCATGAGACTTTCGAATCATTCTCTCGTTCAGCTCCCTATTTCTCAAAGATCGGAGGACCGGATGGTTAGAAACATCACAATCTGAGAGAATAATAAATGTATATTTTTGAACATGAAATCATATGAAAATTGGAGAGGATTATACAATCTGGTTTTTCTTCAGCGATGCCGAGGATCTGTAAAAGAAAACAGCAAGACTGATTAAAAAAAACTCCGTACACAAAATCATTGCTTTCACATAAATGTCAAAATTCTATGTCGTTATCTATTCGAATAGGGTACATTCCACATTATTCTTATAAACCGATGCGATTTAAAGAAACCTTGACCTAAAAGTAGTGCACTTTGAAACTAGCAGAGTTACTAGAATATATCTTCAACTTCATACTGGCGTTGATGTTTAATAATCCTAGTAGAAGTATGAACTCGACTATTAATTTAGTTGACTACCTGCGTACGCCGCATGCTTTTTGACTTGGAATTATTGGAGACAATAGAATACTACAGCTTGGGGACGCCATAAAGGACGAACATTCCAAAAAAACACTGAACCAGTTTAGTCTTAATGAATCCATCTATTTAGCAGAAGTCTTGTTCAGAATTTGTTTGCTTTACTTCTAGACAGCCCTAAAATTAAGAAGACAGCATAGATTTTTGTAAATGTTCATCGAGGACGGAAATGAAAAGTAATCTAGTGTATTCTTCAAGTTTATAATCCCAGGGAATTTGTGACGATATATCTTTAAATTTAACCACAAACATACTCAGACCTCAACGTCATTTAAAGCCTTTTCTATCTGGAGAAGTGGTGCCGTCAAAGTTCATACCTAAAAAGGGAAGAAAGAGGGTTTTCAGAAGACTGAAATGTCTATTAATTGGTCGATTGTTTCATCTAGATTGTTATGGTGCGAGACAATGATATGAAAATGCATCAAACCAAAACTTTTGCAGAACTAGAAGCTGGACATAACCATCATTCGAAAAATATTTATATGCCAAAAACTATCAGATTTTAGCTGCAGTCTTATGCTACTTTATCTACCTTGAGAATCGACTTACCTTCGTGAATTGCTTCTATGTGTCGTTTTAGGCTTGATTTCTGAGAGAAATTTCGCTGGCATACTTCACATCCGAATGGCTTGAGACCTATATAGAAAGGTTACCTGAAGTAGAAAACACTAGCCAACCTTTGTGAACAGCGTCGATGTGTTTATGGAGGTCAGAGTTTCGAGTGAATCCTTTATAACAATAAGTGCATTCAAACGGTTTTACACCTAAAAGATAATCAAAAACCCTAACAGGTGAGTAGGTATTGAAGGAAAACATGGGTAAAAACGCATTACAGACAAAGAGTGTTTACAACAACAGAATCTGACCTTTGTGGACTGCTTTGATATGTGTGTTCAAATTACAGTGTTTAGTAAATACTTTGTTGCAAAATGCACAATTCAGAACTCGGAAATCTGTTGCAAAGAATAGAAAAAAAATAGACACAGTTAGGAGTGACACGGCACACCGAAGTACAGTAACTCAGGAAACATAATAACTTTATTTTTAAGAGGAATTTTTCGGTTGTTTAACATTGTTGAAAATCATCGAATAAGTATATAATGTCAATAGGATTATCAACCCCAACTGTTTGTCCCGGTTATCTTTTTTCTGCATTTTTACCCAACTTATTTACAGATATCCATCTAAACAACTTTTCAGGCATTGATCTACCAGAATTACTTGTTGATTTGGAATATACAGGTGATATAGTCCTATTTGACGAAGACGCCAGTCTTTTGGTCACATTGAGGAACAATACTAGCACACGAGGTTCACATATGTGATGTCATAATATTGTGAAATGAAGAGCAATAGCGTTTTACAATAAATAAATGAAACAAGGATAGCATGTCATAGATATAGCTCGGTAAAAAGTACAGCCAGTGAGAATTGGTTAGGGTGGTTCAGTTCACTAAATTGGGATTATAATCAGTTTATATGAGTTATATCCGACAACATCTAACGCCACCGAATTGCACCATCCCTAGGACTGCAACCTAGGAGTTTTGACGGATCAACAGACGCCTATCCCGAGCAAGAATCTTTCATATTAAGGGATCATATCATCAAGCGACCACCTCGGTGTTAAGTAATAATGTGCTGCCGGTTTTTCCAAGATGGTGACATCATTTTTCGTCCAACACTGTTGCCGAATGCTCATTGCAGAACCTCAGAATCAGTAATACATTGCCACCTGATGATAACAAACACTTGGAGGTAATGATCACTGAGCTGAAGATCCCAGGAAGACTCCCGACTAATCAATTGTAAACTTGATCCTTACACAGAGGGAGGCAAGCATCACAACGGTGCCAAATATGTTCGATATTAACATACGCTGTATTGTCTTCCACTACGCGTGGACTGATTTTACCTGTCATGTTATTTTATCACCCACTGCTTAAACAAACGAAATTTTCGACTACTAACAGATTTAAAGGAAATTGAGTGGAGCCATATGCTCCAGCCGGTTTTTCAGAAGTGGTTCAAATTCAGCAGGTTCAAGAAACATGACATACGTATTAAAAATATATGCTAACTGATTAGATGCGATTGGGATAGTTTGTGAGACTGTTATACGCGTTCTTAATGTTGAAAAGTCCATCTCCAGGTTAAGTGACAGACCCTACTACCTGCACAACGCATTTCTTCTGGAACTTTTCCTTTGATTTCATGAGTATGAAAGTTGCAGAGGAACAACGCTTAACTTTGTTGTAGGGATGGAACAACAGAAAGAGGTGGTTGAACAGTCTCACTCTGTTTGGCACGTTTGTGTATAAAGCCATCAAGATGTCAATAAACTTTCCAAGACACCCTCCTTCAACAAACAGATTGAAAGCAGTTTTTCCCAATGAATCAAAGAAGCTCTGATATCAAAACAATGATTTTTGATCTGCAATAAGTGTGGAGGTGTCCCAGTATTTGGTGGAGTGCAGAAATGAGTCAACAGATCCACGTCCTGAGCAAAAAACTTTCTTACTTATTTATTTGAACAGATAAATATTGGTACAAGGGGGCACCAGATACATATACGCCACACAATAATAATGAGAAATGGAAGAGAAAAAGAATGTAAAGTGAGTGCAAAAAAAAGACAACAATCACCACAAATTAGTGTATGGTATCGAAATAATAATAGAGATACAGAAAGGTACAACCGAAAAGAATCCTTTCAGTTTAAAAAGTTACGATCACTTTTTATGAAGTAAATGAAAGTTACAGCAGGATCGCCACTGGCTTCTATTCTGAACAATATCTGATAACCTCTCTAGCCACTGTGTTGCACCATCTCTAGGACCCCAACCAGGGAGCCGTGAATAACCAACAGAAGTCAGCCCTTTGCAGCTTTCTTTCATACCACGACATCATGTCATACACCGACCACCTCTCCGCCTCTTCCAACCAGCCCCAGCGTCGGCAAATAATGCACGACGTGGAATTCTCTGGGACGACATTCGTAGAACATGTCCAAGCCATCGAAGTCGGTGTTTCAAGATGGTGACACCAATTGCATTATCGTCTCTGTGCCCGAAAACACGATGCCGAACCTCTGCATTACTAACATGGTGTTGCCACTGGATGTCAACAATCCTTCGGGGACAACGATGATCAAACACAGTTGTCTAACGTCCTTAACTCGGAGAGACCAGGTTTCACAAGCATAGAGCAAAACTGCTCTCACCGACGCGTTGTATACAGCCAGACTAACATCACGAAGGCGCCAAAGATGACTCAGATTGACATAAGCCTCCTCGGCTTTCACTATATGTGAATTGACCCGATTACACACGTCATTACTGGCACTTATGCAGCTACCCGGATATACAAACCTCTCGACTACTTCTATGTGCTCATTACCCAGGGTGAATACAGGATCAGGATCCTGCCAGTCTTGTAAAAGCAATTTGCACTTCGAAGATGCAAAGCACATACCGTACCTACGGACATTGATTGCCAACTGATTAAGTGTGGATTGCATGGCTTGGGCATCATCACACAGTAAGACAATATCATCCGTATACTCAAGGTCGGGAAGTCTTTCTCCAGCAACGGATTCACACCGCCATTACTTGCATCTATCAGAGCTGTTTCCAGAATGTCATAGATAGCAAAGTTGAAGAGGAATGATGAGATTGGGCAACCCTGTCTAACCCCACTGCTGGAGTGGGATAGAGGAGAGAGGTGGTTGTCGACAGGGCTTTTAGGATGTTAGTAAACTTCTCAGGCACACCCTTCTTCAATAAGCAGTCCTGTCCACCGAATCGAAGGTACCCCTAACAAAACCTTTCCGCTCATTACGAATCAGTCCTTCACGAGAAGCTAAATATTTCTAAGCACGAAGTTTTGCAAGGCCGCAGGAGGCCCTACTCCCCGTTTTGTTAATTTAGCCAGTTTACACCTACAAATTTCGGCGGGTTGCCAACTAGTCTTTCACCTAGCATGATTAAATCTTTGGTTGTGACTCTATGTCCAATTACTCCGCACCTGATTACTGTCAGAAGCTGTTCCAATTCACTTAAAGCAACTCTCAGAGCGGATGGCCCACAAATTATAAACCCATGAAGATATCTTGAACACTGGGTGGAGCACTTCAAGGAATAGTCCATCTGATTTGTTACTCCATAACGATCAAACTGCCTTGTGTTTGCTGGCCAGTGATTACCAACACACCAGACAACGTTGAAATTGGTAAGAATGTGTGAAGATTTAGTGAATCTTTTACTAATTACTATTTTTTGTCCATTTATTTATTATTAATACAACCTTTCGCCCTGGATTTTCCCATAATGATATAAGTTCACTTGAATAACGCAATTTCTTTATATACCAAACCAGAATTTGAGCCGTACATAAACAGATATGAATATAAATTATAATAAAATGTATGCTCAAAATATCGTCAGTCAGCAAATGGATTTTACTGATGAAACTGCTTGGTACTGATTCACTTAAGATCGCTAATTTTTCTTATGACAAATATTATAAAAGTTGTGTTAAGGAAACCAACGGTTTGGCATTATAATTGTTCACTAGAGAAACTGAAAAGAAATGACCACTTTGTAATCAGACAAATTACTCCTGGGATAAACTAAAAAGAATGGCATAAAACCTGAGAGAATTTAGGAATACGAGGTTGTTTCATGTTGATATTTTATATGGCGATTTCAGTCACATACTTGTACATAAAAGTATTTTAGATACATTCAGGGATAGAGAAAGCCAAAATGAGTATAGCGTTTATGATAAATACAAGTATTAACCACCTACACTACTTTTAGGAGAGATTATTCCCGGTAAGTACTAGCTCACTGTAAAATATTGTAGTTTCCATCCATTATGAGGACTTCATGCTTTCGTATTTTAGCTCAGTACTTAAAAGAAACAGAACTGTTAACCGTTATTACGTAGGAAAATGTGCGGATGACGGTTATTTCAAGTAAAAAATTATAACTAGATGATACACAATGCTGACCACACATCTCAAGAGGTGATGAAATCCTAGTTATTCAAAATACAATAATGAATCTTACTTGCATCTTCTTCACCATTACTTTTACGACCTTGTTCATTCCCCATAGCGGCAAATCCACTTAGATCATATTGTTCAGTGTCTATCTCTGTACCTAATTCAAAACTGCTTTAAGTCTTCTGACGAGTTACCTTCATGCATCAATTCGAAATGTTTGTGCAGTAGACTCTGACTGGAAAACGTTTTACCACAAAGACAACAGATGCTGATAAGTTCGCCTGAAAAGGATAGGATTAAAGTTAATAATTACCATCATCGCATGCATCAGCAAAAGTTGGCCCGACACCAGTTGGTTCGTTCATCTTGAAAGTCTGTAGATATAAGGTGACAAGATCAACAGTAGTAAAATACTAGCAATTAGGGGATGGATACATAGGAAAATGAATGGAAAACTTGTACTAGTAGTAATAAACTGAATATGGGAACTACGAACTTATATTTACAGTTACAAAAGCATTCACCAAGGTATTTAATCTGAAGTAACGACGTTGATAGGTTCAGGAAATATGTACAATATCATATTGCAAACACGTTTACTGTAAACGTGCTGAAAGAGTTTAATAATTGATTCTTCAACTGGCGTGGGATATGCTGCTCATGTTTGTTTATAGGATTAAAACGCGGGAACATCATTTAGATGAGTAACTTTCGTGACATGTCAAGTCGTGGATGTTTCGTAGATAGATTTGGAGTGTTGCTTTACTAGTTCGTTTGTAGGATAGTTAGTATCATCCTCAGTACTACATTGGCTTCTGGGCGGTAGAGGTTGATGAAATCTTGGTCTATCGACTGAACCCTAATTCAGTAACTGACGTCACCCATGATGCTGATTTCTGTACGTCTGTTACTAATAATCGCAGAGTAGAGATCAGCATATGCTGTCTACATAAATCTAAACAATAAACTACCGTTTAGAAACGACAATCAACGCCAAACTCCCACGTTGTTTAGACTCATAACATCTTATTAGTTTGTTTGAAGGGGAATTCCTAACAAATAGGGAACTTTGAATGGAAGCTAGCAGATTTTTAGTGACAATCCTATTAGGCCAAACAGCAAATTGTGACACTACCGGTTACCTTGCATACCATATCCAAGTGCAGCGAAAAAAACTAGGTTATTACGGAAGACCTATTTTATTGTGTTGGCTGGTATCAAGCATCAACTATCATATATACAATACGATGAAAACCCAGAGAACAAGCTTTTCACCAGACAAAACGATGGATAGACTTACTGATAAATCTAAGAACTTGCAGTAGACAGATTTTTGTTGCACAGCATTATATTACTGAAAGTGCTCGAACATCCTAATGTGAAGTAATTCTGTTCACTTAGTAGACACTGATTCTATAAATTAACCTGATGCTTGAAAAAGATGTATCAAGTGCACGTGACTGAGCATTCCTGAAGACTCTCGAATGATAGAATTCCCAGTCAGTGAAATATAGGGCTTAAGACGAGAAAACATAGCATAACCAGCATCCAAATGTTGCATAGTCTCATATTTTTGATGACTAAAATCGCTCACCGTAAATGTGTACGGTGACATATTATTCAATTTAGATCCAAACTTGAAATACAAAACCTATGTTCCTTCTCCCAAGACGTTCCTACTTAGAAATAAACTGATTAAATATTCAAAAGTGTCATCAAATGTAGCGATACAAATGCGTTACACTAACGCAACATATGATGTATACCCAAACGTACCTGAACGCTCCAGGTGTATTTGCTCAGCTTTTTAGTCAATGTGAAGTAAAATTCCATAGTTTATAGTTTACACAATAGATCCCAGCGCACAATTAGACATTTTACGGAACCGATTCTTTAGCAGTCGTAGCTGCGCTCAAATATGACGATTGACAGTTTAAACAAGAAAGGTTCCGATCCGAAAGTTCAAAAATCCTCGAAGTGTCCATGAGTCTTAACGAGATTGTTTGCTTTCCTTGACTGCTTCCTTAAAACTCTGAAATTCATTATTATTTTCATGATCTATACAAATTTGACAATATTTGACACATATCTAGTGAGAATTAAAAACACATAAAAACTAACTCTTGAACATAAAATAAGTTGCATTTCGACGAACTACTAGGAATAGTGACGTCTAATTCACTTCCATGACTTCGTAGCATTTACCATTGACACCTAAGTAATTATAATGATCTGTGGGGCAAGTGAAATGTCACTCGACACTTGACAAATCATCCATAAGGTTAGACCATCTCTGCGTTAAACAACAGATCACTGATCTTTGGAAAGTCTGTTGAAGATGGTCAAGGATGGCTGTTGTGAATTTATCGGTTTAATCTTATGAATAGGTGAGTCCAGAGAAGATTACACATTGTATTTTGCGACTTGTTAACCATGATATATTCCATTGTCTATCACAAGTTTTTATTCTAACCCGTCACTCAGATAGTCCATTCACCTAGTTATGACGAAAGAATAACCTGGGCTAGTAGGTTACACCATTTCCATTCAACTCGAGTAAAGCACAGTCATTTACACAGATCATATACTTGTCTTTTCGGAATGATAAAGTTCAGGCTACCAGAATGACTAAGTCATATGGATTACCGCTGAATTTATAGGTTCCAATGTAAACTCGCACTTTTACCGATCAATTAGTACAAACGTTCAACTAGTTCAAAATATTTTAGCAGTCTCATACACAACTGATATGGTACATAGTACACAGTCCAAATCCCTATTAGTGCAACACACAGTTACAGTGACTCTCCAACGGATAACAGGAAAATTAATCATAACATTTCTATAACTGACAACACACTTAGCGTCGATATATTCAAACCTCGCAAACCATAACAAGTATGTTTGACAGCACATAATTCTCCCCAAAATATGAAGAAGACGAAATCAACCGCAAACCTTGGAAATAAACGTCTGGAACATGTCACCCATACGTCAGGTAAAAGAAGTATTCGGAATTGTACATGGCCAATTGGTCGCACACACAGACCTGACAGCCTTCTTAATCCGGCTCCCAATATGTGACCTATGCCCGACCGCTGTTGCTACCTTAACGTGGTGGTCGGGCTTGCCTATCGTGATGAAGCAACCGAGCTATACTGGCTGGAACAACCGTTCCTCAAGGTCCTGCCATGTTAGACAGGTCGATTGAAGTGCGGCAAGACTGAAAACGATAAACCCAAGGTCCGAAGGCGAAGTCGTACTGTTAACTGTACAGAGGTGTGACAGCAGTAAGGTGTTTCCTTCAGACAACCAGCATGACAACGATGCTGCCTTCCCACAAGGAGGGGTGGGGTTAGAAAAGGTCGACCCTAAAAATGCACACCTCACCTTACCTCACGGATTTCCGTCTCCGGCGGTAAGGTCTCAACAAGTACGGAGCTAACACAAAAATTACTCATAGAAAGGTCGTGTGAGACCGACCTCCAGCAATTGTCCCTTGGGCACTGCGGTCACGATCTCAGGTCACTGAGACCACCTCTAATCCAATTTTCTTTTTCAGGTACCTCCAGAACAACCCTTCCACGGTGTGGGCTACCGGGAAGTGATAACCGCCCTCATACCTCTAACAGCACTCAAGACCACTGTATTCATAATCAACCTCTGTCTTCACTTCCTATTACTACTCCTACATCGACTTTCAACTATAAACTCCCTTTTCGGCTTCCTCCTCAAGTGTCACCATAGCCAACGATTCTAGTGCGCTAAACACTGTTCCAGGTTTACTGGAACCTCACTCCAAACTACACATTGGAGCCTTCAACGTAGGCATCCAATGTCAAACCGGTCAGCAGGCTTCCTTGGCTAGAACCCTAGAATCTCGTGCCATTGATGTAAGCTGTGTCTCTGAAACACGCATACAGGATCCCAGTGTGGTCATTCACTTGACCTCACCTCGGCAAAACGGAGAGCCAACGAGATACACCCTTCGTGTATCTGGTGACCCGATGGCCAGTTCTCGTGGACTGGCAGGAGTAGGGATAGCACTAAGCATAAGGACAGAACAAGCACTGTTAGAGTGGATCCCCGTTAACAGTCATTTATATGCTGTTTGGCTAAACGGCTCCGTAAGAACTCGGAAGGATAGGGATACACGTCGTTGCCTTTTTGTCGTTTCTGCCTACGCTCCCACTGACTGCAGCTCAGACGAAGTGAAAGATGAATTTTACAGAAAGCTATCTGAACTTCTTCAGAAAGCTAAACGTTCAGATACAGTACTCGTAGCAGGTGACTTTATTGCTCAAATATGCAGTTTAAACCAAACAGAAAGGCATTTAGGCGGGTATTTTAGTATTCCAGCACAACGAACAGATAATGGTGATCGTCTGCTGCAACTATGCTCAGATAATCGTTTATTTTTAGCAAACACAAATTTTAAGCATAAGGAGAGACATCGTCTAACATGGCGACCCCCTACACCAAACCAACGATGGACTCAAATAGACCATATTGCCATCAGTCATCATTGGAGAGGGTCGGTAGAAGATTTGTAGAATTATGGTCTACTATGATATTAGTACTGCGTTAATAATAGACCTAATCCTAAATTTGTAGATTTGTCATGATATAAGATCTTACGTGGAAGTTACACCATCGACTGCGCCAACTCACTGTATCGTACCAATTACCAATACATGATGTAGAACAAGGTTAGGCTAGAGAAAGAACAATATATTTAATATGAATAGAAGAAATAAGTTAACATTCAGCTGGGACCACGCCTGCATGGCCGAGTCATGCCGTTCGATCATCTCTAATTCACTCAACTCATTGTTCGCTCCTTCTCCATCGTTAGGTATTTCTCCGTGTTAAATATTGAATATCTATTTTCCGAGTTGTCTCATGTTCAGCTTTGCGGATTGCGTGGTTATGGTCCAATGCCACTACAGATTGTCGCTTATTCTGGAGTACCTGCTTGGACTCCGACCATGCCTTAATACGGGCACACATTTGCTTGCGCCTCACTGGACGCAAAAAAGTCACAGTAAAAAGACCCATTAGAACAGACTTTTAAAAGAAACTGGAATTAATAAGTCAAGTGTATGTCAGACTATTTCGGAAAAAGACGACACCCTGATCTGCTCTCAGTCCAGACGTTTAGAACGATGGGCGGGACATTTCAGAGAACAGTTCAGCTGGCCTTCAGCTACTCTACAACTACCCTCCATTCCTAGACAGTGTGAATGGAACATTGAAGTAGTTCTGTTGAATTATGATCTACTACGATATTAGTACTGCTCTAATAATAGACCTAATCCTAAATTTGTAGATTCGTCATGATATAACTGCCTAATCTATAAGATCTTACGTGGAAGTCACACCATCGACTACGCCAACTCACTGTATCGTATCAATTACCAATACATGATGAAGAACAAGGTTAGGTTAGAGAAGGAACAATATATTTAATATGAATAGAGACCACGCCTGCATGGCCGAGCCATGCCACTCGATCAACTCCATTCCATTCAATTCATTCTCCGCGCCTTCTCCATTGTTAGGTCTTTCCCCAAGTTAAATATTGAATATCTATTTTCTGAGTAGTCTCGTGTTCACAGCTTTGTGGATTGTGTGGCTATTGTCCAATGCCACTACACTACTCTCCCACCAGAATCAACGTGATGTTGGTTCGATACCAAATTGGATGGGATCGTCGCGCGCCGGAGGTTACCAAGGATAATAAGAATCCTCCGGGTATTGGTAAGCTGAAAGATAAATCAAAAAGAAGGCGGCAGCATCTGGTCGGGAAATACATGTAATAATCTTAAAATATCTGCTTTCATGATTAACACGCTTAAAATGAAAATTTGGTTGAAGATTATTTGAACTATAAAAAATGGGATTACAATAATAATAATAATAATAAAACGATGCGTGTTAATAACTTGACTTATAGGCAGTAATTATTTTGTGTTTAGAAATATTAAAGTAATGAATATTGTAGAAATGTTAATATTGGTATTAGTTTTGGTTTAAATTATGAAATCGGATAACGATTATGCCGGTAAGTTGTCCATATGAGTTGAATTCCAATTGCATCTGTATCAGTAGGCTAACTGAAGGAACAAAAGTATTACCATGGTAAAGAATTCCAACTAGTGTTCTAGTTAGTTTGATACGGTTTATTTAGTTACGGGGAGATTTTCTCAACCTCATTTTTACTTGACCGTGATAGAATTTAGTAATACTACTAATACACATGAATGTTCATCAAAACAAAATTTAAATACGTGAGTGATGATTATATGAATTTTGGACAGATAGCTAGGAACAAATCGTTAAACATGAGTGTATTCGTAAGAGACATGCTCTAGACTCAATGTTCTGATCTGTGGCAGACTATTTACTTGTATTTATACTTGCCGAGTGATTGGGCACACAAGTTACTTGCAAGTATGCAGTTTATCATAAGGCGGAACACGATTTAATTGAGATATAGTGGTTACAAGTTATTAAAATCAGTTAGACCTGTGTCATATTACGAAGTGATGTGGTGCTGCAAAATGTATTTAGCTAAATAAGTTTTTACAAGATGATTAATAGTGAGTGATGCTCATGTGATTATCAGGGAGAACATAAGTTGTAACCAGGGGGAGTACACTCCCAACTCATGTCTATGATAATGGCTTGAACCTTAGTCAGTGTTGGGGTAAATTCGACATTGATGTTTTCAGTTTGCAGGAGATTTGCTCGACTGCTTATACTGATTATTTGCATGCATGATTGTGTCGCTAAACCATCAATTAGACTGACAAGGTTTTGAGATATTTATT